GACTCTCCATTTCCTCCAGGAGAAAAACATACTCCTTTCTTTGCCGTGTAAATTACTGGCTACATTCTATTTTTCCAGACTCATTACACGTTACATTTCTCTACACAAGCTACATTTCAGCCAGACTGGACTTGTTTGTTGTTTCTTATGTATAACATTCCATCTCCCACTCTGTGCCTTTGGCAGGCTGACTGGCCCCCCAAGCCTAGAATGCACTCTTTTTATCTTTTCATGGCAAAATCTCTGCCTTGCTTCAAAGCTTGGCTCAAGCAGCATCTTCTAAATGAAGCCTTTTATGCTAAGCAGCTATGCGGTAAAGAGGATAGAGCATTGGATCTGAGTTCAAATCTGGCTTTAGAAACATGGTAGCTCTATGACCTCAGGCAAGTCACTTTGTCTTAGTTTCCTAAACTGTAAAAAGCATTCGATAATAGTACCTACCTGCCAGGGTTGTTGTGAGAATCAAATAATATTTGCGCACAGTGCCTGGCACATGGCAAGAGCTATATAAACATTAGCTATAATTATTATTCTCCCCTCCATTCCCAGATGCTAGTGTCTCATCCTTCAGAAGGACATTATGTTTACTTTGAATATATTTTGTATTTATTTATGCAGTGGTGGGATTTGGTTCTTATCATCCCCCCACCCCAACTCAACTGATGTAATCCCAGAAAGCAAGAAGCATAACAGAGGTAATGAGTATTAATGTGTTAATGAAGTACCTACCTTATTACTTTATAAAGTAAGAAAAAGATTCCTTGAATTGGAAGGGTAGGATGACATTGGTAAGCTGAAGATTGGCCAAACTCCTGCTAAGTTTACCAAACCCTGGAGACAAAAGAACATTTTAAAGGCAGGAAACAGCTTTGTGTAGTGTCTATGCTTCTTACAGGGGGCAAAAAGGGGATTATTCATTTTTTCCTCACTACCACACCCCATTGGTCTTACTATTTGCCTTTTAGGAGAAGGGCATCCAGCAAGAAACAGAGGCACATCCTCCTTAGGAAGACACAGACACAGAGAGGTGGTATTTCCAAGTCAGGGACCAGCTTCAGGGAACATAACCCCAGGGATGAAAAAAAAAAACACAACAAAACAAAAAAACAACCATGGGTGAAAGGAAAAATTAGCCTTGGCAGTTGGGAGCTGTCCAGCAGAGAGTCACAGATCCAAGGAGACCAGTTGAGCTACCTTCTCAGTAGAGATGCTGCATACAGGGGAAGGATGCATTGAAAATAAAAAGCACATGCAGTACTAGAGGTGTGCATTGTCTTGGCCACATGTATTTCCTACATGTGTGCCTCATTATCAGAATACATTAAATTTATGCTCACTCTTACTACTGATGGTGTGTGTAATTGTGGGAGAAGGTGACTAAAGTTTATGACGGGGAATGCTGTAAAACTACTATTGTTACTATTACTTAACGGATGCCTTTGCTTTGAGCTAATGGCATCTTCTGGACTATTAAAGGTCAGCTAACTATTGTCAGTTAGGAGGGCTGTGCCACAGGGTACCTGGGAGTCCCTCCCTTGGGGACACCACCTGCAAAACTATTAGTGATGAGCTGGGAAGAGAGATGGGGGGAATTGCTATGTTTGTATTTGTATATCTTGTCTGTACAGAGAGTAAGCTCCTAGAGATCAGGGACTGTTTCATTTTGTCTTTGTATCCCTGGTGCCTAGCACTGTGCCTCATGTACAGTAGGCATGTACAGTAGGTAAGTATTTCTTTGTTTATTGATTTATGTATCTGCCTCCTTAAATAGAGCATACTGATCGTAATTGAATCTTTTCTTAATAACTCAGTATCATCACTATAAATACAATTGTGTGTTATACTGTGATACAGTGATTCCCTCAGGTACTACCATGATGCATGGCATCACAGATCCAGAGCTGAAAGGGACCTCAAGAAGCCAGCTTGTCCAACTCTCTCATTTTACAGATAAGGAAATATAGTTAAGTGACTCATCCAAGGATACATGAGAAAATAATAGAAAGGCAAGAAGGAATCACAGATAAACAGGACAACTTGGAAAGGAAAAGCAAACTCTACATAATAGAGATTTGCAGTTTCACACATAATCTTCTTCTGCTCTATCGCATATATGGAAATAGTAATTTTAATTGGTGTTTACTTTCTGAAAAAATAAAGAAATGGAAAAAATAAGACTATGGAAGGAAATATGTATGTATATAAATTCTCTCTCCCTCTCACACACACACATATATGTATATGCATTCAGTCCTAGCCTTTCTCCTAGTATCTGTGAAACCCTGAAAACAAACGAACAAAGAGTCATGCAACCATGTTATGCAATCATGCCATACCAACTGCCTAATATGCAACTCCAACTGGTCGTGCCATATGCATTCCAAACTTAATAAGTCTATGACAGAACTCATCATTCCCTACCTTAAATCTACCTCCTTCAAACTCCTCTTCTCCTGAGGTGGATACCGTCTTCCTTTAAGTCTCTCAGATTGGCTCATCTTTGTGTCTTCCATTTCCCTCACTTTTGATACCTAACTAAGTGCCAAATCTTGGGGGTTCTGCCTCTACAACATCTTTGACATTTTCCCCCAGCCCTACATTCAGAGCCACCACCTTATTTCAAGCTCTCTTTCCCATATTATTGAAGTAGTCTCTTAATTGATTTCCCTATTTCCAGTCTCTCCTGCTTCTCATATAGCTGCTAAAGTAATTTTCCTAAAGCAAGGGTCTGATTAATGTCCCTATAATCCTCAATAATCTTTAATTTCTTAAGTGACTCTAGGATTTTCAAAAAAATCCTAAGATTTGTTTTTAAAGTCTGTAACAATCTAGCTCCAGTCTAACTTTTCAGGTTTTTACATGCTATGTTCCAGAAAAATTGATCTAGTTGCTGCATCCCAGATTCAACATTCTATTTCCTGCTTTCCTGTCATCTCCTTCTCTCTACTCTATGCCTGGAATGATTTGCCCCCCCTCACCTCTTAGAATACTTCAATTCAGATCAGGTACCATGTAACTTGTAACCTTTCTTGATCTCCATAGTTGGCAGAACTCTTTCTTTCCTAAAATTCTATGGGGGTTTTCCCCTTCTGTTTACTTGTTAGAATGTAAAATTCTTGAGGGCAGAGACAATTAAAATTTTTTTTGTCTTTGTATACTCGGAGTTTGGAACAATGCCTTCCATATAGCAGGTGCTTAATAAATGCTTGTTGAATAATTAAACTGAATGCTGAAATTTTTATTCAGGTTCTACAGAGAAGACTAACTCCAACTTTCTATGCAGTAGGAAATGCTGCTATCCTAGGTGGATTCAACCAAATGACATACAATGGGACAATTTATCTTTTTTTTTGGCAGGGGAAGGAATAATTTTTCCCATATAAGACAAACTCATCTCAAACTAGAGGAGACCTACTTGTGATCAGAAACTTATTTATTTTCATGACTTTACTGAGAGGTCAGGTTGACTCTAGGGTAACAGAACCCAGGGCAAAATCCAAGGGCTGCCTTGAGCCCGTAGTAAAAGACTTCATTCCTGTGTCTAAGGATGCTTTGGCAGAAGCTCTGCTCTTCTGCAGGGGGATGTGCCGACCTTAATTAAAGACCTAGGTATTGTGAAGTAAGGAATGAATATCTTCCCCCACCTTTCTTAGACCATAATGTTTTAAGAATAAAACTTTAAAAGAGCTGAACCTCCCTTTTCAGGTTACTCTCTTCCCCTGCAGCAACCTTACAAAGGTAACAAATTTATTTTAAAAAGACAAAGGCCTAAGGGTCTCCCCCAGAGAATTATGCTCTAAGGTTTTTCCTCTCTTTTCTGTTCTATCTGAAAATTCCCTCTTCCTTCCCCCCTCAAGTGCAAAGAGTAGCTACCTGTCAGCTACTGCACCCCCACGAAATAGAAGTGTCCCCTGATTTTCTACCCTTGACTTGGCTTCGTTGAAAGAAGGCTTAACCAGGACGTAGAGCGGGCACTTTAGCCACAGGGTGGCGCGCGAGAATTTCCTAGGTCCAGACTGGCCACAGCTGCTTGTGATATCCTTTGCTCCTCTTCTCTCCCTCTCCACGACCCCCAGCAGACAAGTCCCCATTTCCCTCCTTCCACCCCCCACCCCCTCAATCTAGCCAAGGAGGGATGGTGGACTGAACAGCTCTCTCACTCTAGAGGCTGTACAGGACAGCAGCCACGCCTGGTCCATGTGTCAGGGGGGTGCTGCTTCCCGCGGGCGGTTCCCTAAACTCGGCTCCACCTCCTTCTGGTCTAGTCACCTCCTCCTCTTCCCCCCTCCACCTTCATCACCTCCTCCTCCGCGCTCCAAGTCTAATGCATCCCCATTGCAGCAGCGGAGCTGAGCAGCCACGCCGGGGCGGCTGGATGCGGAGCGCGCCCGCGGTGGCAGCGGGGAGGGACATCAGCAGCCCTAGCAGCGTCTTCAGCAGCTGCCGCCTCCTCCGGCCCCAGTTGGGCTCGCCTTGCCCTTTGCAAGCTTAAAACCAGAGAGAAGACGGGGGCAGGGGTACGGGAGCAGTCTGTGAAAAGGGGGGGGGGCGAAGGAAAGTGCGTGGCGTGTTTGTCTGTAGGAGGCGGAGGGGCATACTTGGATTAGGGCGTGGGAGAAGGGAAGGGAAAGGCAGTTGCCTTTGAACCTTCCTGGGCGCACTCCCGGACTCCTACAAACATGTACTTGCGCAGAGTTGGGACTGGTCCCCGCGGGAGCACGCGGGTTGTCGCCCCGGCTGGGGTGTGTGAAAGCGCGTGTCCAGGGATGGAGATGGAGAGATAGGATGGGCGCACAGCTCGACCCCCGCAGCCCTAGCCCAGCAACGCCCACGCGGCCCCGGTGACTTACTGAAGCCCTGTGGCTAAAGCCGCGGAGTGGGGTGGGCTGGTGGGGGTGGTGGGTACGCTGCCCAGCGGCCCTTCTGCTTTTCTGCACCTTCTCCTTGCGTCGCTCCTTCTCCACTTTCCATCCATCCCCACTTCCCAAGAGGGGAACGTCATGTCCAAGGCTACGGGGGGCGCAGCGGCGGCGGCGGCGGCGGCAGTAGCAGCAGCAGGGGCGGAAAGTTGCTCCAGTCCGGCCGCCTCCGCCGTGGTCGAAGACCTGTCCAAAGTGTCAGACGAGGAGCTGCTCCAGTGGAGCAAGGAAGAGCTGATCCGCAGCCTCCGCCGCGCCGAGGCGGAGAAGGTGAGCGCGATGCTGGACCACAGCAACCTCATCCGGGAGGTGAACCGTCGCCTCCAGCTGCACCTCGGCGAGATACGCGGCCTCAAGGTAACCGCCCAGAGCGCACGGAGAGAGTCCGGCTAGGGAGGGCACTAAGACAATACACCTCTCTCTCTCTCTCTCTCTCTCTCTCTCTCTCTCTCTCTCTCTCTCTCTCTGACTTTCCTCCATCTCCCCTTCTCCCCCTCTTCCCTTGCTCCCTTCTTTTGCTTTCTCCCTTTCTCTTCCCCCTCCCTCTCTCCCTGCAATTTCTCTGTCTCTTTATCTCCTTTCCTCCTTTTCTCTCTTTCTGTCTTTCCATTCCCCTCCCCCTTCTCTCTTCTGCTCTTTTTTATTCTCTCTAACTCTGTTCCCTTTCGTAGATGAAATGATAAATCGTGAACAAAACAGGAAGGTCTTAACGAAAATTTTTCGTGGTTAAAACAAGTGACCTTTTTGTCACCTCTAACCACTCTCTTTTGTTAACTTTTCCAAACTGGGGTGGCATTTGGTTTTCCATCAACTTTTAAACTAGCAGGCCCTTGGACCCCTGGTCCAGTCTGGCTTTCCTATCACTAGAGGGGGAGTGAGGAGATGGAATGGGGGACTGTTCCTGAAGCTGTGTCGGGGCTCTCCTTCTCCCCAAATTTTTACTAGTTGGACAGAACAGCCAGGAGATCTCAGGGCTTTCTCTGGGAGTAATGAGGGTGTGTTCCTGCAGAAGAATATTTGCACTTGAGAAAGTCAACTAGCAGCAAGGACAGTGTATGTACTTGGTTGAACAGTGAGGCTGAACTGCATAAGAAAAGGAAAGTCAGAGTTGTAAAACTTAGGGAACCAGACATAACAGCAGATAACTGGCAAAAATAGCTTTAGACTGCAGGATGAGACTGGGAAGGAGTTAATCTGCTCATCTGAATGCCCCATTAGAAGAACACTTTCCCAACCCCTCCAGCAACTAGGCTATCTCTTCCTTCAGAGATACTTGACCAGATTAGAAATGGACTTTAGAAATCATCGCCACCTTCCCTTTCTGTTAAAATGTTTTGTCTCTTGCTGAGTTTGGAAGTAAGTACTTTCAGGATTAATCTGGTGTTTATTTCCGCATTCTACCTGATTGTCTAATCCAATCCCCAGGTGCATTGGGTGGTGACAGCTTGCTCAAGTGTCAAATTTTGATGCCTCCATTTTGGGCCAAGAGTCTTTTCGACTTGGGAGGGGGGTGACATGGGGGAGTAACTTTTTTTTTTCCTTTTAAATAGGAAGTGCCAAGTGAACGTAAAAACCTCCTTACTTGCCTAACTGAAGACTGATTGCTGGAAAGACTCCTGATTTAGCTAACAAACTTCCTTTCTGTATCAATTTGTGAATGGTGCCTCCATTTATTCCTTCCTCTAATTGTTCTGGCTTTGTTTTTAGGAAGCCAAATAACAGATGAAATGACTTCAGGAGTAACTTGGAGTAAAATCATACACATAGATATCATTCTCTTCTCCTTTCCCTTATTATTATACCTTCTGACTCCAAATTGCTCAGTTGAAGAAAAAATTCTAGGTGAAAAAGAGTAGGAAGGACAGAGAAAGCACATCAGACATTTTCTTGACTTGAATGGTGTGTCATGTTAGAATGCTGCAGTGATATGGCAGTCATAATGGTGAGAGAGACTTGAAGTATGTCAAAGCTGTCCCTTGATCTCAAAAGGAAGTATTCTGAGACAATCTCGGAATGTGTCCTACTGTTTGGTCCATTCATTCAAATAGATATCTACTTATTGAGCACTTGCTGTATGTAAGTGTTAGGGATACAAAAATACAAGACAATCAAAGAGGTCTGATTTGTTAGGGAGACCTAGCCAAGGGAGAAACTGGTTGATGACCACCTTCCCCCATTTAATTATCTTTTGTACTTTTAGCCATAATGCAACTGAGAATTTGTCCTTTTAATGATGCTTGCCCTCCTTTCCTTTAAAGTAAGCATTGACATTGAAATTCAATAACTTTCAAAAGATGCTTTCAGACTAGTTTTGAAATATCAGTATACAATGCTAGAACTGAATCTTTTCCAGCATCCTTACTTAGAGAAACAATGATTGAAATCAGCATAATTTCTAATATTCTTACTTAGGGAAGCAGTAGTTAAAGTTAGACAGCTTTACTGGAAGCAAGGTAATTTTAGCCCAGTGAAGCCTGAGTTCATAGCCTATGAAATCTCATTAGAATAAAAATGCTGCCTCTTAGTGCTGTGCTTTCATAGGTCACAATCTAGATAAGTGGAGGTGAATGGTACAGTGGAAAGTATGCTGTGGAGTCTGAGGACCTCAGTTCTGATCCCAGTTCTACTATTTACTACTTACCTTTGTTACTCTGGGCAAATCATTGAACCTCTCTGTTCTTCCAATACTCTTCTATAAAATGAGGGGATTGAACTAGACAGCTTCTTAGGGCTTTTTCTATCTCTAAATTCATGAACCTATCATTGTAATAGGCATTTAGTTACACATTGGGACAGATTTCTGCCCTCCCCACCCTCCCCCAAGATACCATCTAGTGGGGCATAGCCATACAGATATAAGACGTATAGTATTGGATGGGCCTTGGTTCCATGTCCTTGTTTCTCAATAATCTAGTTAGTTCCCTCCTTGAGGGTCAGGACCAGATTTCCCCTTGAATTTGATTCCTTCTGTTATTGCTACCCATGTCCTTTAACCTAAATCAAATCTAGAGTGGACATTGATGTCTGGGAAATAGTTTCAGTTTATTATGTGCATTTAAAAAATGGAATGGGATGGGATATTACAACTAATGTATTTACTAATGCTATAAGAAATTGAATAGTTTGAGAATAACGTCTTTTACTGCTAAGAGGATGATTGTTTCTTTCTAATTCTGAGGCTATAATCACCAATAATCTCAATATGAGGAATAAGGGCACAGAAATAGTACATTCTCCCAAATCTGTTTCTTTTAATTTCTATTCTTATCACTCAGATTAATTGAGGGTCTCATTATCTCTTCAAACTGGCTTCTCCATCTCCTTTCTTTGCTTCCCATCACACTATTGGTCTTTCCTACACACTACTGCTAAATTAATCTTCCTAAATCATGTCTTTTCTTGTTTAAGAACCTTTGTTGGCTAATTAAAGTTCAGACTCCTCAGCCTGGCCTTGAAGGCTATACAAAACATAACTTAAGTTCATCTTTCTGGCTTTATCTCCCACTACTGACATTAACATAGTTTACCTTCCAAAATTGTAATTGTATACATTGTTCTTCTGGTTCTTCTCACTTCTGTTTGCATCAGTTTATAGAAGTTTTCCCAGGTTTCTCTGGAATCATCCCTTTTAGTTCCTTGTTCCTTATTTATTCTTCCTGGAACATGTCTTAGTTTTTTTCCACATCCGCCACTTTGCTGATTCTAGTCCCAACTCCGGGAAAAGCTCCTCCTCTTCCTCACTTCCTTCCTTTGGGAAACTGCCCAAATCCTTCCTTCTTGTTTAGACTTGCCTCAAGTAGGGCCTCAATGTTCATTATTGTGAATGAATTTTATATATTCTGTTGCTGTAAAATAACCAAAAAATTTTCAGAAAAGAAACCAAATGACTTGGGAATTAAAATTGATCTTTTATAACATAAATACATTACATGAGCTTCTGCTGGAATTAGTGATGGCTTTTTGGTGTTAGATGATAGGAAAGGCAATTAGTGAATATAGAATTCAATCTGGGGTCAGGAGGAGCTAGGTATGGATTCTTCCTTGGACACATTATTAGTGTCATGCTGAGCAAGTCATTCATCCTCTCAGTGTCTTCATCTCTAAAATGGGAATAATAATGGTATTATACTCATTGTGTAGGGTTTTGATGAGGATGAAAAGAGATAATGTGAAGTACTTTGTGAATCTTAAATGCCAGTTCTCATAAGAGGTAGAGCTTAAACTTTTTTTCTGTCTGCTTAGACATTTGGATAGCATCTATTGTCTAGTAGTAATACTGAAGAAGCAACTGGAGCCTTTTAAAAACAAAATACAGACATTAAAGTAGGGTTTAAAGAAGTTTGCTTAAGTGCTGGATCAATAAATCAATCAGTAAACACTTATCAAGTTCCCACTCAGTTCTAGGCACTGTGGTTTCTCAGATAATCTTAGTGTTAAATGTTTTAAACTGTACCCCACTCTCCAAAAAAGTGACTGACTTTTTTTTCCTCAACCATAGTGTCAGTTCCATTAACTATTCAATTCTGGAGGCTACATGATAATTATAGAGTACCAGCCCTGTTAAGGGTAGTTTAGGCTTGATATTGAAACAAAATTATCATTCAGTATTTAACAAGAGGAGATTTACTTAAGTCATCACAAAGAAAAGGATAGTTGAGAAGAAAAGGCATTGAGAACCCTTTGGGTAGATTCAACCCTTTGGGTAGAATTCAAAATTCTCTTGCCTGAGTTGCCCATTGTGATATTGAGCTATTTTGTACTCAGGTGATGAGGAAGTGATCTCAGCAGCCAAAGCCTTTAATTCCTTGAGCCAACCAAGTCTTCAGTATGGTTTTAACATTTTTTTCAGGGGAAAACCAGATTAAATTACATAGGGGGATTGGAGTGGGGTAGATTAAGATATTGCTCCTACCACAACTGGTATAGTTTTCAAGTTAAGATTGATTTGGACGAGAGAATATGATTGGAATTTATACTAAAATGCTGGAGTTGAAGAAAATCCTGAAGGTTTTTTCCTGATTAAAAATGTTTAGTTTTATTCAAAATAATTTTTCACAATATCTACAATTGCTGCTTTTCCATAAATTATCTATAACATTAGAGACTCTATTCTCTATGTATTGATGACCAATATAGAAGAGACATTCTAAAAATGCCTTTTAAAAACTACCTGTTCTGATGAGGTATTTTTTTAGCTTGGCCATTTCAATGTTTGAGTGGCTAGCTTTGCATCAGTCTACAGGCTTGGAAAAAACTAGAGTAGTCCCTGTATCAGTTAAATGTTTAATGAGTGCCTGATGTGCACTATAATCCTTTGGGGGGATATAAAGAATTCTGGGAAGTGGGGAGTATGGTACACCAGCCTTAGTGGAGTTTACAATCTACTCAAAGAAATGACTCATGATTGGATGAAAAGATGACTAAGAATTTAAGTAAGTAAGTGAAATGTGTCATAAGATTCTCTACCATCTATAACTTAAAATTGTAGAGTTGCACTAAGAGATAAAGTAACTTGGTTTGCCATTTCCTTCTCCAGCTCATTTTATAGATGAGGAAACTGAGGCAAACATGATTAAATGACTTGCCCAGGGTCACATAGCCAGTAAGTGTCTGAGGCTGAATTTGAACTCAGATCTTCCTGACAGTAGTCCCCAGTGCTTAATCCACTGTGCCACCTAGATGTGAGGTCATATATTGAGTATGGGTCAAAGCAGGACTTGATCTCAGATATTTTTGATTCTGATGGCTTTTATTCACTACACAATGTTGTTTCTTACTCTTTTTTCTTTAGGCCTTGAAAATACACTGCTACTATTCATCCCATGATGAAGTGGAGGTTGTAGTTTGATGGATGGTTTTGAACTAAATTTTTAGGTTGTGTGAGGGCCCGTATCTAAGTCATTGTGGGTTTATGTAAATGAAAGGTAACTCCTTTTGGGTTTCCAACTGGATTATTGGATGGTGCTAGACCATAACCTGTGTCTGTTTTGTTCTTGACCCACTTACCTACTGTTTAGGAGGGAGATACAATTGGAGAGCAAGGAGGGCTCAGAGGGATTATGTGAAGGATCAAACCTCTTCTGGAGGGCATTTGACCATTTCTGTAGTGGATGGCATGTGAGATGAGTTGGGGGTGCTGGCACTTCTCATTTTATGTGTGGTAGGAATGAAGGGATGGGATGGTAGGTAAGCAACTTAATTTCTCTAGGTCCCTCAGTCTTACCCAGACTGACCATACTGCTGTCTTCTGATCATCTTCACAATCTACTCTTTCCCTTTCCTCCTCTTCTCTGAGAAAAATAATCAAGTTAACAAGTTTATTCCTGGAAAGGATGTGTCAATCATTGCTCCATGACTTCATTCCCTATTCCTATATCTTCTCTTCTGAAAAAATGAGTGAGTTGGAATCTAAATTCTCTGATCACTCAATTAGTCAATCAACAAACATTTATTAAAAACCTACTGTATACCTGGACTGTGCTAGGTGCAGGAGATAAAAAGACAAAAATTAAATAGTCTCTGTCCCCAAAGTGCTACCTCTGATTAATTGTTCTGTTGTATATTCACCTAGAGACAGCATTATTGAACCCATCATCCTTTTTAACCTGTCTCTGGGCATGTACATATTTTATCACTTACTTATTAGTCATATCTCTTGGCTTTGTGTGTGTGTATGTGTGTGTGTGTGTGTGTGTATGTGTGTGTGTATGTGTGTGTGTATTCTCAAAACTGACCGACCTATTCTTCATATTTATGGTTTCAATTTCCATTATTCTTAATTGCCTTCTAGTCATCACAGTCATCCCACTTATCTCAGGAATTACTCCTCCCCCACCCCTGAATTCTTGTAATTGAAATTTGCTCCCAGCAGTTTGGTACCCAAGAGATTTGCCTAGCCTGCCAGGATGGGAATAGTTTGACCCTATTAATGTGAGAATGAGAAAACTTTTGAAAACCTGATTTCATGAATGGCTCTCCCTGTCTCTTTGCAGGACATTAACCAGAAGCTTCAAGAAGACAACCAAGAGCTGAGGGATCTTTGTTGTTTCCTGGATGATGACAGGCAGAAGGGAAAAAAGGTGTCACGCGAGTGGCAGAGACTGGGCAGGTATACGGCTGGGGTGATGCACAAGGAAGTGGCCTTATATCTGCAGAAACTGAAGGAACTTGAAGTGAAGCAGGAAGAGGTTGTCAAGGAGAACATGGAACTCAAAGAGCTCTGCGTGATGCTGGATGAAGAGAAAGGCGGCTGCGCTGGCAGCCGGGGCTCCATCGACAGTCAGATCAGCCTGTGCCAGCTCACGGCCTCGACTGCCCCCTACGTGCGGGACGTGGGGGATGGCAGCAGCACCTCGAGCACAGGGAGCACTGACAGCCCTGACCACCACAAACATCATGCAAGTGGTAGCCCCGAGCATCTCCAGAAACCCAGGGCTGAGGGGAGTCCGGAACACTCAAAGCACAGGAGTGGGAGTCCAGAACACCTGCCCAAACCGAGGGTTTCTGGGAGCCCAGACCACCAGAAACAGCTCAAAGGACCCAGTCCAGAGCACCACAAAACCATAGTCAAGGGCAGCCCTGAACAGCAGAAGCACACGGGTGGTAGCCCGGAGACCCTGCCAAAGCATGTGATCAGCAGTAGCCCTGAACATTTTCAGAAGCACAGGCCTGGTGGGAGCCCGGAACACCAAAAGCACAGCAGTGGTAGCCCCGAGCACCTGCAGAAACACATCTTGAGTGGGAGCATGGAACACCTTCCGAGGGTGAGAGGGACCAGCCCGGAGCATCTCAAACAGCATTATGGGGGCAGCCCGGATCATCACAAGCACATGGGTGGAGGAGGCAGCAGGGAAGGCACACTCCGGAGGCAGACCCCCGATGACATGTCACCTCATCACAGGAGTGTATACAGTGGAATGAATGGTGGGTCAGTACGCGCTATGGGCACCTCTTTTGCTGGAACTACAAACTAGGACCAATAAATAGCATGCCAGCTACACCTTTGAAATGAGTAATCATTCTGGGAGGGGGGAAGGATGAAGGATTTATCTAGTTATGACCCTATTGAGGTAATTTTTTTTTCCATTTCATACAGCTCTGAGTAGTTGATTTGGGGCCAGAGTAGGGAGATAAGAAGTCTCACTGTAGCATGGGGTGTCCAGCATGGAATGCGTGGGTATTCCAAGTAGTGTGGAAATTTAAGGTAAAAGCTGAGGAGCCTAAGAAACCTGTCAAACCTGGCCATGCTCTTACTTACCTGTTTTCTCTTGTTGCTGAAGGGTTGCCAAAGCTTATTATTTTAATACTACTGTTAAGCATATTTGTATAATGAAGTTATCTACATGAACGTGAAGAAAGAATGAAAAAAGGTATAATTTTGCTAGCAGCTAGTTTGATACTTATTTGCCTAAAAAAACCAGTGTGTTCCCCATTACACTGGAGGTTGTGCCATAAATCTGGGCTTTTCAATGTGTTAAGTTGCTTCCAGAATACATTTTAGATCTTCCCCATCCCCCACCACAATCAGCCAATCAATCTTTCTCTGTTTAAAGGCTTTCAGAAAGTTTTAAAGGAGTGCATACTCATTTAATTATTAAATGCAAAAGGACTTTTTTTCCCCCAAAGGGGAGGGGTTTAATTTTATCCTTTGAAATGTAGTATGGTACAGTGGAAAATCAATCGGTTTGGAATTAGAGGATCTGGTTCAAATCCTATCTATGCCTCTTACCATCTGTACCTTACCACCTGGGGAAAGTCACTGTACCTTACTGAGCCTCAATTTTCTCATCTGTAAAATGAGGAGATTGGACTACATACCCTCTAGGTTCCCCTTCAGGTTCTCCATCTATGATCCATGATCCTTTAAAATGAACAGGCACAAACTCTGGTTTCTAGGGCATGATACACCTTGAATTTTCAGAGGCAACAAACTAGAGCTCACTGCCATTTCCCCCAATAAAGTAGCTTCATTTTCTGCATCTTGGTTTTGGAACCACATTGAATTTTAGAGAGAAACTAGTAATACTTTTAAAAAATCCTTTTATGCTACCTTTGGTTGAGTTAGAATGAAAGTGATCAGTAAGGAGGTTACAAGTTGGCTGGAGGTCCAACCCCTCTATCCCAATCGCCCTCCAAAATATTGTGGTTATTCACTTCATTTAAATGCTGATTCAGAGACTGCATGAGGGAGACTCTGATCAGTGTGGAAGGAGACTGCCAATTTTAGTAGTGACACGAAGGGGTGAACTTTCAATATTGTACTTGAGGATTTATCCGTTGGATTCCATTTCATCTTAATCCTTCTCTCGTGGTGCTGAAAACTGACTCCTAAAACTCGTAGCCTCTAATGCATCCAGTGTTCTTTTAAAAGCATAAATAAATGGAAAGAGAAAGGGTAGCAGAGGCCCAGGAGGACATTCATTGGACAGCTTATGTTTGGAGATGGAGGCTAAGACTGAGGCCACATCATTTGTCAGGCTGTACCTTCAAGCCTGTCCCGATAGCAGATTGATTGAAATTTCAATTACTCCTCGTTTCTCCTGGTCTTTATAGGGGAACTTTGAGTTCCTTTTTCCCACAACAAGCCAAATAATTTTAATTTTAATGTTACTTATTGTGACGGGAAAAGTTGGCTAGGAAGTTCGACTTTAAGAAGGTATGGACGAACTGGATGAAAAATTAGTAGTACTGTATTTTTCCTGTGAAATATAAATATGAGTGAGCCTTGCTTGAAAAACAATAGCATCCAAAGAAAGTCATGCTAAAATGGATACATTTAGAGCTGTTGGGTCATTTTACAACAAGGTTCTTCTAAATATTGAACTCTCTTATTCCAATTAAATGATGATTTTATGATAGTCATAAAAACCCATATTATGGCCTTTCCTTCAAGAACACATCTAGTGCATAAAGCAAGGAGAGAACCATTAGAACAAGACTCAGTACTCATGATTACATGGATTCAGATTTATTTGGCATTTCAGATCATGTGTCCTGCCCCCCCCCCCAATAGCAAGGGTACATTTAGAACCATTGGTTCATTTCACAACAGAATTCTTCTAAATATCACATTCTATACTGCAAAATTCTGATACTATAACCTAACTAGCCTGTAGTGCATGTGTGTTCTGCCCTGTAACACAGCATTCTCATGTCTTCTTGCCCTGTTTGCAAATACTTTAGGTCTATTTCAAGATTGTATTTAAGCTATTGCTCATTATTGAGTTACCCTTCCCAGAGAACATTCAGAATTTAGTTTCTAGGCTCTCATTATGTTCAGCATGTAAGTGTTGGGGAGAGATGGGGCTGTGTTTAACTTGGCAGTCTATGCTTTTTGTTGCAATTCCACAATGTGTTGATTGCATTACACTCTGGAGAATGGAAGAGAATATCATGTTCAGAGGTTGGCTCTAGAACAGTGGCATCCAATTCAGATAGAAACAGGGCCACTAAATCATCCATAATGATCCCTTTGGGCCACATATTGACTTAGAAAACCACATTAACATTATCTATGTTCTACTGTGTTTTTGTTTATTTTGTTAAATATTTCCCAATTGCAGTTTAATCTGTTTTAACCGGCACTCAGGAGTATTGTGGGTTGTTTTTGACACCTTTTCTCTGGAATATCAAACATGGCTATTTAAACTGTGATAATTTTGGACAGATATATTTTTCTTATGATAATTAACTGATAACTCAGGGGAAGTGACCTTGTTTTGCAGTAGGTAGGGAGAAATGAGACTGAGATGAGAAACTTGTCTTAAACAATTCATCAAGTGAAGAATGGACAAGATGTCATTCTTTCTGGTATCATACATAAGAAATAAGTGAACATTGGTGGGAAGGTTGTGTTGGTACCTTACAAAACTATATTTAGGTTTGAGCATCTTCAAACTATGTTGAACTTTCAGTTGGGAAATAAAGAGACAAAGCAGCCTATGCATGTGCCCTTCAAGATTTTCCTTTTGTTTAAGCGGCAGGCTTAGACTCCAAGTGAAATGTGAAGTGGATATGAGGGTTCTTCTTTTTCCCCCTTATGCAAGTCTGTCTGGCGGTTGCTTATTTAGTCCTTGTAAAAAACAAATATTCAAAACACACCATGAAAGCATTTTGTTTTTCAGATATTTTACTTTGCTATCTTTAGGCAAAACTACAATTTGGGAAAGGGCCATTTTGCAAATAGGAAGTTGATGCATCATTCTTGGTGTTTGTACATGAAAGCATTTTGGCTGTGGCTTACTGCATTTTATATTTGAAAACAAAGCTATTAGCCCCACATGGGCTGTGCTTTGTTAGCATGAGCTAGGCAGACTTAGTCCCTCAGAATGGAATTTTCGCTCACCTGTCTCCATGGGGAGCTGAGATTATGTTTAGGCCTTTTAAGGTTAAAGTGCTCATCCTCCTAAAGCCAGTGAACTCAGGAAGCCAGCTAGCAGATCGATGGGCCTTTGACAAGGAGCATTCCTGAACAGGGGTATCTGTAGTTCTCTTTGTTAGAGGCTGGTCATTTTGCTTATAGTGCAGGTGACTCAGGTTCTCTAGCAGCTGCTTGGTTTGGGAGATGCCAGTCTTCCAGGCAGGGATCATTTTGCTGATCAGACTGTCCCAAAAAGGAGTTTCCCACCTGGAGATTTTGAACACCCAGTTGCATTTGCCAGGTGGAAAAGATGGCAGATTAGCTGATTTTAGGCAAATAAATTGGGATGAATGCAGAAATCCATGGCTTGTTTCTTTTCCATCTTCTGAAAATGATTGTTTTAATCTACTTAGCCAAAAGAATTAAATATAGTTCTTTTTAGGCTTTGATTTAAAGCCTTCCACGTAGCCTCCCTTTCTAGCCTATTTTTTTTATTACTCTCCTTCATATCCTCTGTGTTCTAGTCGAACGGAATTGTTAGCTATTGCCTAAATTCAGTCTGCCATCCTCTGTACCCCCTGCATTCAGGTAGGCTGTTCCCTTGCCTGGAACATATTCCCTTCTTAGCTCTTCTTGTTAAAATTCCTCTTTCCCCATCAATGCTCAGTTTTTAAGCCTTCCCTGATCCCCATCATAGTTGAAAGTGTTCTTTACCTCCCTCAAAGTTTCTCAGAGTACTCTGGATCTCTCCTTTGCCCCATCACTCCTTAACTTGTATTATGCTTACCTGTGTACATGTTATATGCCCTGTGGTAGACTGTAAGCTCTTTGAGGGCAGGGACTACGGAGTTTTTTTCCCACTTGTGTATCACCAGCACCTAACATATCATCTTGCACATAGAAAGTGTTTAATAAACATTTATTGAATCGAAATCTGTTGGTTTTAATTCACTTTCTTATGATATATACAATGAAAAACTGCTTCCATTTTGATTTCATTTGCTGTAGCCTTTCCTGTTGAATTCGGAACCCATCAAAGGTTTTGCCTTGTAGCAAATGCCTTGTCAGAGTAACAAACTCTCTCTTCCTTAATTGTTCAGGTTGATCCTCTGCCACTTATCATGTTCAGTTTGGTTTGCTAAGTGAATGGTGCTAATTAAGGGGGAGGAATGGATGTCTGAGAAAAGAGATGGGAAGGCACAAGCCTCTCTGTCTATCCTTCTATCCCCTCCCATTCCTGAGTGAGCCATTCCAAGAAACAGGAACTGTGGATGAACAAGTGCTGATCCCATGATGCCAGCAACAGTTCCATTTGTCATGCCCCTGTTTAAAAATCTCCGGTGGCTCACTATTGCATACCGAGTAAATTTCACACTCTTTTGCCAGGCAGTCGAGATCTCATACAAGCTAGTACCATTTTGTTGCTCAAGACTTACTGCATATTATTTTTCCTGCATGCTGCTCCCCAATTAAACCAGGCTTTGCTCTGCTGACATGCACTTTTCTGCCTCCATACCTTTGTCTACCTATACTGTTCCCTGTATTTGGAATGTTTAATAGGTGT